GGCCGCTTGTCAGCGGAGCGGCCCGCTTCTCCTGCCCCGGCGCGGCGTGAGTACACGCCGCACACCCCGGGCTCCCCCCCCCCCCCCGCGGCAAGAAGGGCCCGTTCGGCGGCGCCCCAGGGACGGGCGGGGGTTGCCTCGTCACACCGGCACACGGAAGAAGGCGGGGCCAGATAAAAAGGTCTCCACGGGCCGGATGAGAGGGCCTCGCGGGCCGCATCCGGCCCCCAGGCCGTAGTTTGGAGACCCCTGCTCTAGAGCACTGTTTCCCAAATGGTGCTCCGCAGAACCCGGGGTTCCATGAAGTGAAAGTAAGGAATTCCGTGAGAACTTGATGTATCCTTCTCCCCCTTAAAGAGACAGAGAGGTTTCCCACCCACTTTTTTTTTTTTTTTTCTCTTTTGCTTGCTCAACAAATGTTCCTCCATGGTGATGGGTTGTTTTGTCAAGCCAAAAAAAAAAAAAATTCCCCCCATCTGTAGGGTTTCCTTGAAATTCTTCTGAGTTTAAAAGGGTTCCATGCTCATATAAAATTGGGAACCACTGCTCTAGAGGAATCCCAAGCTGTAGCAGATACAGAGTTCGGTGAATAGCCGGCATAGTGATATTACTTACACTCCTTCCGGTGTTCACAAGATGGGTGAGTGCACACTAGGAGGGTCCTGAGCAATGTTCCCTCTAATTTTTTTCCATCCATGAGCAGAATAAATTTTGTTACATGCACCGAGGAATGTGCAGATGTGTACCACCAACAGAAACACATGCTGCCAACTGTGGGTGCCCTGCTAATCAGCTGGGTGACACCTGAATCTCCCTTAGGTGGCTGTCCAAGTGCTCAGCTTACAGGGAACACTGGTCCTAAGATGAGGCGAGGGTCCTGTCACCCACTTCATTTCTCTAGTGTATGTGTGACGAGAGAAAAGAGAGTCATGTAAGGATCAACTTCAGCAGTGCAGAGTCCATTGTGTTCCATGCTGCAGCGTTCACATGAAGCAATCCCTCACTGACATACATCAGAAGCTCGGCAAGGCACCTTCAAGTGTAAGCAGGAGGGATTGTGACAGCGTGAAACACTGCCTGAAAGATTTCCACTGAATGAGCAACCTGTTCATGGACTAAAAGTCCTGCTGGATCTTACGCAGGGCTGTCTCTGGTAAGGATCTTCTCAAGAGCATTGGCAAGCTGCATGTTTGGCCTTGATTTACAGTTGCCTAGGTCCTATATATTTTACAGAGAAGATTATTTACTAGGACTTGATTCACCTCTGACCTTCATCCTGTGCAATATTAACACAGAGCAAAGACTAATGTTTCCAATTAGCAGGTGTCAGTGATTTCCTGCTATCTATGCATTCTGTCCTGGTTCGTTCAGGATTCACATCCCGGCAGGTACTTTCTATTGCATCTAGTTTTCTATTCACGTTTATTTTTTTCTAGGGCTGTCAATTGACCTGTTAACGCCTGCGATTAACGCAGGATAGAATTATCACGTTAAAAAAACGAACGCGTTAATCGCAGGCATTATTGCTGTGCTACCTCTTTGAAGTGCTGGATCCGCACTTCAAAGGGGCAGTGCAAGTGAAGCCAGGGATCAGCTGAAGTCTGCCTTGCCCTGCTCTTTGGAAACACCGCCCAGAGCTTCCAAGGGGCAGGGCTGCATGGAGGCCAGGATCAGCTGGGGACTCCAGCTGATCCTGGGCTTCATGCAGTGCTTCCCTGTTGAAAGGCTGCCGTGGCCTTTCAAAGGGGAGTTGCATGCGATTAATCACGATTAAATTTTTTTAATCGAGCGATTAATTACGATTACAATTTTTTAATCAGCCCTAGTTTTTTCATATTAGATGATGTTGTGACCAATCCCCTAAAACAGTGTTTCTTAAATTGTGTTCCGTGGCACACCAGTGTGCTAAGAGGCCATCAGAGGTGTGCTGCAGAGAACAACAGAGTTCAAAATGGCCACCCTTAAAGGGACAGACAACTTTTTTTTTTCCCCTATTTTTTTTTGCTCAACAAAAAATCTTTGGTGTTCTTAAAAGGTTTACGAAACACTGCCCTAAAACATGCAATCCTTCATTACAAGTTACTGTACTTAAAGATAATATTTGGAATTATACTGTGTGTCTATGGGACTGTAGTTTATTAATTATTATTATTAATAATAATAATAAATTTAAATAAGTGTGATACAACATAGCTGGCATTTGTATTGCAATGGCTTAATACACAGTATTAAAAATTGCATCAGTCTCTCTTTTAATGCTTTCATAACCCTGCAAGCTGAGAGCAGCTGAAGAATTCAAGCCCTACAATCTTCAGCTCTAGATGTGCAGCTTCTTATTGTTTTAAACCTTATTTTTATCCTGTTTGCTTTGTTCCATTCCAAGACAGGTTCCAGATCCCAAAAGGAATCCCAAGCTGTAGCTGATACAGAGCTCTGCCAACATTGAGCGGCTCCATGCCAGACTTACCCCTACCAGAGCTGACAAGCAGATACATGCACAGTGGGAGGGGCTGAGATTAGGCCGGGTTCCTGTTGCAGACATCAGTGCTCTCCAGGTGGGGGAGAAGAGAAAAAGGAAAGTAACATACCAACCCACTTCAGCAGTTTGTGAACTCTCATCCAGCATGCTGCGGCTTTAGCGTGCACCCCATTGTTGACATATGTTGGAAACACTACAAGGTGTCCTCACTGAACTGGTATAAGCAGAAGGAATTGTGATAATGTCAGACATGGTGTGTGAGACACATACCGCATAACCAGCCTGTCCACGGACTAAAGATTCCCATCAGATCTCAGCAGAGCTGTCTCTGGCAAGGGATCTCAAACATAATGCTGAGCTGTATAAACCCATTTTACAGTTTCCCTGGTGCTGGGTAGGCCATGCATGCAGGATACATATGGCATGAGTACTCCTTTTGTGGAAGTAAGAATACTCTTGTACATTAGGCAGAGGCCCTCAATATAGATTGGTTACTAGAGCTTCATATCATGGACCTGATTCACCACTGACCTTGTGGCATCATAAACTCTTCCTTTGCAAAGTGTAAGTAATTAATACAGAGCAAAGAGAGACATTACTGTTTCCAATTAGCAGGTGCGACGAGGAGTCCTGTGGCACCTTATAGACTAACTGAAGTGTAGGAGCACAAGCTTTCGTGGGCAAAGACCCACTTCGTCAAGTTTCTTCATGAGGTTGATAGATTTCCACTCCATACGGCTAAATGCAGTGCCTTGCATGGTGTCAAGTATCAGAGGGGTAGCCGTGTTAGTCTGAATCTGCAAAAGCGACGAGGAGTCCTGTGGCACCTTATAGACTAACTGAAGTGTAGGAGCACAAGGTAGGAGCACAATTAGCAGGTGTTATTGTCTCCTATCTAATCTCCTGCATTCATTCATTCGTTCAGCATTGATCCCCAAAACATACTTTGCATTGCATTTCTATGTCTATTCCGTTTTAGTTTTTGCATAGTCCCCCTGAACTTTGCATTTCCCAGTTACAAGACACTGTACTTAACTGTGATTTTCTAGCCTCAGAGCTGTACTCCTGCAAGCCTGAGTCAGCTGAAGGTTTTTTATCCTTCTGTGAAGGTGGCCATTGTATAATCCTATAGATAATTCTTAAGTACGGTGTCTTGTAACTGGGAAATTCAAGGTTCAGGGGGATTGATGGGGGGTTTAGAGCATCTTTCAACTATGCAACAACTAAAACTGAATAGACATAGAAAAGCAATGCAAAGTATGTGCTGGGGAATGCATGCTGAACAAATGAATCTGAGCTCAGACGTGGCCATGCGCTTAAGATCTGGGATCATGCCGTGGTGGAGTATCCCAAAACCCAGGTTCAGCTTGAGCCAAAATGTCTACACAGTGATTGTTTAGCCTTGCAAGCCTGAGTTAGCTGAATCAAGCCAGCCACAACAGGGGGCCAGCACTTCCATCCCTGTGTAGACATGC